CTGCAGTTTGGTTTTGACTTCTTCTTTAACCCCTTCCTGTCTGCACAGCTGGAACAACACTCCGAGGCACAGACTGAAGCAGAGACTGTGGCAAATGAGAGCGTGTAGATGGAAGAGACATCTGAAACACACACACCTCTGGGAGAATTCTAAACGTGATGCTACGTACTTTAAACAGAGCGTGTAAATATTAAATGAGTTGAGGAGCAATAATAATTGTTCTGTTCCAGACACAACTGTTTTTGACTAACTCTAGAAGAGTAGACCGATGTATGGAGTTGAAACCAAGTGAGTTTATGCATTGTTAGCTTTTAAGCCAAATGATGTGAGAGTGTTAGTGGACTTTAATAGATCAGAGAAAACAAGTTGGCTTGTCTAAGTTATTCACAACATTGAAAAAGAATCACTTTTAGCTCTTCCCTTCATCAGGGGCATGATGATTTTGCAACATTTTCTTTTCTAACGTCAGATTCCATGATGACAAGATATTTGCCATTAGCTTCTTTCCACAAAATACCACAAAACACTAATGAAGAAATTGATCAGAAAAACCATTGAAGATGGACATAAACATTTCATGATGTCAAAGCTGATCTTTGACCCACTACGGTTGGCCAGTTTATTAAATATGTTATTGTATACATTTCTATAAAAACACTGTCTGCTGCACTCTAAATGTTTTTGGCCAAAATGTAAGAAATATTTTACACACGGTACTGAAAAGTATTTTAAGCCGAGTACCTCATTATCATCCATAACAGTAGCTCAATACTTAGAGAGATGTAATACATCATCCATGAACATCTATTTATTTCAGAGCATTTGTACAAGTTTCATGCTACTCTGTAATAAATACAGAATGTATCTTCATCTCTGCTGTGCAGTGATGGGTGGTTTTAAAATAGAAAGTCACTACTGTGTGAACTGTGATCCAAACATGTAATGTATGTAATTATTTTCTTTGCTGCTTTGTTGATGACTATTTGAATCATAATTGGAAAAACGACTGTGTTGTTTGTGTCCTTTATAGCCCAAGTCCATATCGCTTTTATAACAGTCAAGAGGTTTTATTTTGAAGTTTATATTAAAAAAAGGTTTAAGCTAAGAAGATATTGATTTACAAATGAAATTGAAATAATAACAAATATAGTTTTCTGGGAGTTTTAGCAGAGCTTATTGCAAGGAATTTTGTAGGTACTTTTTATATGGTTTCCCTCATAAGATTCCTGAGTAATTTTATTGCCATTTAATTTTATTATATGTATTTGTCTTATTTTAAATATCATTGTTAACGTACGGAAAGGCAGGTTATCTCATGCAATGAGTGTGTCTTTCCGCCAGGCGGTGTCTGTCCGCCGTTCTTGTAATGATGAGTCCTGATGGGCCTCTATAAATTGAAGCAGTAAAAAGCGCACATTAAAATAATGGCAATGTGACCTGGAGTAATAAAGCGGCAATCAAAACAACAGCTGCAACCTCATTGGATGCAAATTTGTTGAAATTTTTAATCAGAAAAAATCATATTAAGAGTATTTATAACTGCGCATTTGACAACAACATTGGTTAACATAAAAAATATTTGAGTTCACATTAATTTGGTCAGAATGTGAAGGAAAACTTGAAAAGTAAAAGAATAGATTCTCTAAAAATAACTCCCATCTGCAAATCAGTGAAGAAATCAACGAGGAAGGCCAAAGGTCAAACTATCATTCTCAATCATCAGCAGGGACGATCGCTACTGCAGTTTGTTTGTAGGTAAACCAAATAAAATCTCTTTTTAAAAAAAGGAAAATTTTCATTCATGTCAAAAGAGAGTAAATATATACAGACACCATTTAGGCCTTTTTTCCGAGAGTACAACATTAAACAAACCACCCTTTCCTCAAAACATACAGCTTCATTCGAAAATGCACACGTATGAACCGAACACTGGTAAACATGCTTCAGTGTCTGTCGACACAAATAAAGTTAGGAGAGCTCGGTCATTAGTGGTTATTCGTGCTGCACGGGGCCCAGGGGCCCCTGAAGCCTTTGTACAGCTGGGTCTAAGTGGTTAAGAAGGCAGCCAAGTCAGTCACTCAGTCCATGTTATAAACACCTAGGCTAAATCTGTTTGACATGCAGCATCGTTTTGCTTCATAATGTAAGTATTGTTTGTGTTTGATTTCCGCTTTGCTCAACGGCAACGTGGCACAGTCCTAAACCAGAAGCAGAATCCACGGCCCGAGAACTTGTCTCACCAATGATAACTAAAAGAACGGAAAGGTGGGAAGCAGATGTGTGTGTGTGTGTGTGTGTGTGTGTTGTTAAATGAGCATGTTGTGTGAAGGTCTGCTCATTAATCTGCAAGACCACAGAGGTTTTATCTCACTGGACATACGGTGGTCTAGTGGAGCACTGATGAGGAGTCTGGGTGTACATGGATTAAGAGCACAGGTTCTTTTTCATTCTGGTCCACCAAACATTTTTTTCCCTTGATGATTATCATTGTAAATCAACAGAGAAAGACTAGAGCCACATGGAGAGAAAATAGTGTAATGTCAGATTTTTTGACTTGGAAATAAGAAAAAATAAAAAATAAATTAAAATTAAATTAAATAAAAAAAGCTTTACCCATAATAGACAGCAGAAATGTTTGAGCAGCTACAGTGTAAAGATTAGAGGGAAAAAACACAAACTTCATGTAAACTAAACCTTTAAATCTAAAAAAGTTCACTTTTTCAAATTTTTTTAAAGAACCATTTTTGAACATTTTCATTTGTCAGAGCGCCAGTAGGATGTCCAACGTAAAGCTTACTTCAATGTTCAACACTATGTGTTTGCTACAGCATCACAAACGCCAGTTTTAAAGAAAGAAGGTCGTTTTAACTCACGTTTGCTCTGTCGTTCAGGAAACATAAGTTCTCTCTCTCTCTGGAAACCCTGCCGGTGAACATAAAGTCGCATAAGTCCGCGTTTTGTTTTGGGCTGATATGGTGTAAACTCGTTGCAAATGCTACTCATTTTCGTCAATCACCGAAGTCAGTTACACACTGATAATTCCACTGAGAAGTTAGTAGACAACTGGTGCTCTCTATTTACCGGAAACATCACGTGGTCCGACTCTTATTGGTCCACTCGGCAAAGGATCACACACTGATTAATTTAATATATTATTCCACTTCTAATGAGTTATCTTTCTCTTAACATCTCATTTTTGTTACACGTGGAACAAGAATTCGGAATTAAGGAGTTTTCCTGAAAATAAATTATTACTAAAAAAAACGAGGGAGACTTTACTCGTCTATTACTAGAGTCTTCAATTAAATTTAAGGTGGAGTAAAAACTAGTTTTAACAGTTACATGGCAAAACACCAAAAGTCAGAAAAAACACCTACATTCAACCAGAATGAAAGAACGTTAAAAAATATGATTTTATTGACTAATATTAAACATAAAATAATAGCCTTTGTTCTAAATGTAATCTAATTATTCTAATAACGGAGTAAGAACTAAAAATAATAACACATGTGGCTCTAATCCTTTATCTGTGTAGTTACAATCAATAGTGTAAAACAATCAAACAAGTTTTTGGTGCTGCTGGTAACAGAGGGCGAATAAAAACACCACCTTTCAGTTGGAGGTGGAGAAAAAAAATGCGAAAGAGCTGGACGCAAAAAAGACTAACTTGTAAACACGTTTTTTTCAGTCTGATGGGTTTTTGGCCCTCAGAAACTGATGTAGCATCATCACACCATCAAGCACAGTCCAGAGGCTAACAATCAAAAGATCCACAGTGTGGATATTATTTTTAATCCATCGTTAGTTGTGTAATCCAGCGTTGTTCCCTCCTCTTCAGTTCTCTTCAGTTCTGGGAGGCTGGACAGAGCGTAAACAAACGTGTCGTAGGAGACGTATATGTGTTTTCTTCACAAACGTGTGTGTTGATGTGACATAGGCATATTCCTGGGCATCAGTGTCTGTTAATGAGGACATTCCAGCATAGTTGCGTGTTCCATTTGGAGCTCATTCATCCACTTGGTCGTTAATGCATCTCATTGTTGAGTTTGTCCTGGAAGATGTACAGGTTGTTGGTGGCAGCGATGGCTATGATGTTCTCCGTCGGGTGCCAGGCTGTGTGGAGGATCTTCTTGGTGAAGTCCAGGCTGTCCACGCTGATGTCGTCCTTTCGACGCTTTCCCCCGGCCGCGCAGACCCTGCGTGGCTTTAGCACAGCTCGGGGTTTGCTGCTCTCCCTCGACGCCTCCAGGGTCACGTCGCGCTTGGTGTTTCGGTCAAACATGCGGAAGAAGTTGTTGTAGGCTCCAGTCATGATCACACTGGACAGAGAGGGAAGAGATGTAGAATGTCACAAGCTAGAACAGGGTTTCGGAAACCGTGGGTCGTGTCCCAAAAGTCGGTCAATGTATTTTTAGGAATTCCGCAGCTCTTTTTTTGTACATTGTTTATTTATTTGGTTGCATGAGGAGAGAGAGAGAAAAAAATAAATTTTGAGTTTACAAAAAGAGGAAGACGGTACCTGTCTGTGCCGTTCCAAGCACACTCAAACTTGTCAAAGATGCAGTCGTTTTCGTAAAGAGAACACAGCTTGCTGCGGAGGTAATCGTGAACCTAAGGGGGAAAAAAGAGAAATGACTGATTTCTTCCCAGCTCCTGACCTTAAGCACAACGCACTAATGAAAGAGTGAGAACCCACACACACGTACAAATCGCAGCACTGACAGCATCCATAAATGCTGGAAAGTTGTAATAATATCATCCCTGAAGGAAACTCCAAAACCAGCCTACAGTAACACAGGAGTAGCTTTTAATCTCAGCTCCTTTTCCATATCAGTGTATCCATTAACAGCCAGCTCCCTCCTGTATTATCAAAACCCACCAAGGGCGTGATAACACACACACACACAGACTCACTAATAACCCTTTTTCCCCTGTGCCTTCACTGGACCTGCCTGTGTCAGCACTGTGTCTGCTCAGTGGTGCAAAGGTTTGAAAGCTACACCTTCCTCTGACCGTCACGCTTTGCTTCAAATCTCCTGGTTTTCAACATTCTGCATAAAGTCAGCGGTCAACAGTCGCCTGGCAGTCAATAAGCGGTCAAGCTGAGGTGGGCCCACGGTTGTACATCAAACCTGGTGACATTTCTGTTTTCCCCTCTGGGTCTTTTTGCATGAGGAGAAATGATACGGTCCAGGCTGTAACTTAATGACATGCTATTCTGTGGGATTCACATCACAGTATTTGTTTTTTTTTAATGAAACTCAAACATTTCCAGGGATCAGACATTTATCAATTTATTTATTGATCAAAATATATTTTACTATGATGTAGCCGATCAATGACACACTAACATATAACATCACAAAGTCACAAGAGTTTAGTGTGTGGCCTAAACTGAAATACATTAAGAGATCAGGAATTTGACAATGTTTCCTGATGATGATGATGATGATGATGATGATGTCATCTTTACAGTCAAATCTGAACTCATGGATGTCTATACTCCCTCTTAGTCTACTAAAACCTACTTTTTCTTTTTTAATAGCTCGTGGGCTTTAAAAAAAATGCTTCTACATGGGTCAAATTTTAGTGTCTTGACTTATTGATACGGGACCATTGTGTCTCCGAGGCTGAACGATTGGAGAATTGCTGACAGAAAACCAAGTCACACTCATGTCAAATCTGCTTTCTGATATATAAAAAGAAAAAAAAGTGCAACCTTGTACATTTGTTGGCCATTTTAAACTCTACTTGTATTGTTGATTGATCATCAGTTTCACACCGGTGCTCATTGTCTGGTGGTTTGGAGAAACACAATTCACGAGTGCTGAAACCAGGTTTTCTCTTTTTTTTCTCCTCCATTCACCCACAAACTGCAATCTCACCCCTGTATCTCCCTTCTCATCTCATTTACAAACGTCTCCCCATCCAAACACCACCTCCCAAACTCACACTCCTCTCCCTCCCTCTCTCCCTCCCCGGCTCCTTCCCTGCATTTCCCTCCATGCTGCATTGCAGATCTAGGTGCTGGGGCGCTGGGTGAGGTATCCCTCGTCCTGCTTCACTTTGTAAGGGGAGGCTCTACAGCCTATAAATAGCCTCTGTGCGTCTTAGCCTCCTACTCCTGGCTGCCTCGCACGTCAGGGAGACATAAACAAACAGATTTCTTTCAACAAAACGCCCACAGGAACAGAATATTAAACACACACACACACACACACACACACACACAGAAAAAATAGTTGATAAACACTTGGATGTGCAGTGGAGGACAGTATTTGGAGAAATCCTAAAACTTCAAGAATAACAAAGTTCTACTGAGTTTCCAGAACAACACGATATAATAATTAAATTTTTTTTTTTTTTTTGCAAATGTTGCTTAGTTATTCCAACAAAGTCCTGCAAATGTAAACAACCCACGTGAAAGCAAAGGTCTCGGCGATGATGCCGAGGTCTGTGTCGTCACAATCAAACCAATTATCTTTAAAAGGTTGTGGAAAAACCAGTGAGTGTCGCTCTGACTCAGCCCTGTTCTTTAGATCCATCTGTGTCCTGTCCCCGGGACACTTAGTCACACAGCAGTTTGGACAAACAACAAGATAAACTGTGACCAAAACATGAAGTGAGCATTTATCGCAAAGACACACTACAGTCTGATGAAGATGTTTACTCTTCAACAGGGGGTGTGCGGCCGCTACGAGGTACAGGGAGGTCAGCAGGGAGGTGGTGAAATTATTTTTGTAAGAGAAAAAAACTACCACAAAACATTTCCATTATGACAATGACGATTACTGTTAAATTCTCTAAAGTCTCTAAATCCTCATTCTTTTTATAAATTTCATTTCTGAACTACTTGTCCCATAGATTGGAGCTGACTTCATTAGACTCTGTAATAACTGCGGGGTGAACGGGAGCATGAACCGTCATTTCTCTTTGTACGTGACTTTGTGATTAACTACAAGCGTGTGCAGCGTTTAACCTGCCGTGAACTTTTTTGGCAGAAGGTGCTGGAAAAAAGCACAGATGTGTGTGAACAGTCAGCGTTAAAGGCTCTTCCAGTGATGATAAACAAAACAAGCGCACCGCCGGAGTAAATATCTGTAAGATGTGATTAGAATTCACAGTTCCATCTCCTCTCATAATCTTAAATAATCCCTGCTCTTTGAGGTCAGGCTTTTATTGAAACATGAATATCTTAACGCTTCCTCACCCTCTGATTAATTCATTTTGCTCTGAATAAATTTGCCTCTTCGCCTGGAGGAAGAAAATGGCAGTTGTTCA